GATACGCTAATCGTTTTCCCTTCTAAGATTAAGTAATTTTAAAACCAAGGTTCTGTCCCCCCCCTCCCACGGAGCAAGGATCGAATTATTTAATACACTCTGTTGATTGCTTGGAGATGAAAAGCGAGGATATTGGTGATTTAATTGTGGGTCTATCTGCGAGAGGAAATTCTAGCACACTTGCCACCCCCTTCCCACCTCGCTTCCTGCGTAGGATTCACGCTCTTGTGAATCTAGGACCACGACTAATGATTTATTTTCACCAATAGCGCCTTGTCTAAGTCATTATCGTTCAGACTTTCATTTCTTCTTGTACCGATTCCGTCGCGTCCCTCTTCATGTTTTTTGTTCTGAAACAAAGTAAATCAGGAATCACAAAGGTTACTTCGGGTCCCGATGGCTCGCTTCTGTGAAGACCAAGTTTCAGATATACGTCGTTTATTCCATTACGAATTCATGACTTCATTCGCGGTTGGGCAAAAACCTGGAAAATCGGGATGAAATTTCTGTCAGTTTTCTCGAGTCGGCTAGAGTATTGGGTGCATTGCTCCTCGTCTTCCTTTTCCTCTCCCATCAATTCCCGTGGAAATCCGCTGTCGTTCAACCTGAAAATCCCGTCATATTATACGAGACCATTATCTCCCAGTTCACAGTTGTCCTTCCATAAAAAGGGCTTTATGATCGGATCGAACCGCTCTCGTCGAAGCGGAAGGGAAGTTCGGCCTATTCACGGCAGCTTGCAAAAATGACTCATTTCTTCCTGTCTCATGACATCCGGTCGAAGCGAGTCCGTAAAATCCGAACTGACGTGTTTATCGTCGACCTTCCTCAGGGCTCCGAGCTTACGTTGGCTGAATTTGAATCCGAACAGGAAGGACCAGAGTGGAGGTCATTACCTGGGCACCGAATTTAATTGAGCTGCCGGGCCAGATAGCGATCAACAGTGACAACGAGATGCATGACCGACCGTTGGGGAAGAGGAATGTAAATTGCTACGCAATGACCCCCGCCAGGTGATACGCAATTCAGGGAGGAAACAGGGGAGGGAAAAAAAGGAGCGTATATATCTCCCTCCCCCCAATTTGAGAGTTGGATGCTCGGATGGCTGGGCGTCTTTCCCGCGATTTCCTTGACAAATGCCAACGTAACACTGCACAGAAGGCATCCTTGGCTGATGGTCTGGAAACCGTTTCCTTTGTTCCTATGCCGACCTGAGCCAGGACGCTGCTAACTCCCTCTCGTCTGACACAACAGGAAGTGTTGCTGGGGGAACCCCTCTTAAATGCACCTGGATACTCCGTGTATCTACTGCGAAGGTATATTATGCACAGGCATTCAGGTCGAGAGCATCGTCGGGTGAAGGCAGATATGTAATCAGGGAGAATAGGGGGCTTGTAATTAGGAAGCATTCATTGCGGAATCCCATCGAGGTTGTCCCCGGCGGCGGAGATGCCTCTCTGCTGTTTCGGCCCTCCAGGTTCAGTCTTGTTTCTTTTCTTTTATATTTTGAACAGGGACATTCTCTTGCATTTTCTCACTTTATGCACTAATTCCCAGCTTTTGCTTTTCCCTCCAGGCTTCGTCAAAGGGAAAGCGGGGGGAAATGGTTCCTCGCTTTGAATGTGTGGATAAATGTTCCCAAAATTCTCGGATGCAACGAGGATTTGAGTGTTGAAATTGGGCATAGTGAGATTGGTCCAGTACCTTAACCAGGATTACAAGAGCAGCGTCTAAAAATATCCATAGGCTGGACTGAAGTGCTTTGTTTTTCTGCTTTCTTTGTATTCTTTTGACAGGGTTTGCAATTTGATACATGTTCGGAAATTATAAGTTAGTCGATGAAATTTGGCATACATATACCTCAAGACCTAACATGGGTTTCATTTTCAAATATGTTTAGGAAAGCGACAAGAAATGTTAAAATCAGAAAGAAAAGCTGTGCGTGCATAAGATGATCGAGTGGCATAAGGATATGGTATAAGATGATCGAGAGGCTAGCTGGATGAATGCTCACCTGCTTCGCGAAGGCCTCCCCACTGCAAATCCCTGCTAGTTTATTTTAAAATCTCTTCTTTCTGCTGGAACAACTCATCACGAGACGAGCATTTTAGCGCAGTGATCCCCAAACTTTTTTTTTAGGTGAGGGGCACCTGGATACGTAAGCCACACTGGAATGGGTCGCATTTTACTATGCCTACACTTCTGCGAAGTTGACTAAGCAAAATTCAATTAGTATGTAGTAGTTGGCCGCACTTTGAATATTACTGTTTCAGCTATATTTATGCATTTGCAGCCCAGCTATATCTGGCTGCAAATCCGTTAAGTATAATATCAGAATATAATATCAGAAATGCTATCTTTTTCCCATTCCCACTGAAGTGAATAGATGTGTCAATCCCTCATTTCCTTTCTCTCCCTTCCAAATTATCGCCTCTCATACCTTTTACCCCGCCTCACTTCATGGCACCCAGGATCATTAGCAAAGGGAAAATGAGCAAGAATAATGAGGGTAATCGTGATCCCCCTATTTTCGTCGAGTGAAAGGGCTTTGTATTGTGTGTGTGCATTTGGCACAGATCAGAACGAAGTATCTGAGAAGGTGTGACCTTGGTGGAGGGCGCTCCCATCTCATTATCGCAATCATCAACGCCTCCAGCCATGACAAAGAGGTACCTGTGTTAATGCACACTGGTCCCATGCAATTCCACTTTTTATGCCTTCCAAGGTCCTTTTACCATCCCCTAACGAGATGAAGCAAGTATTATACCAAGTGTGTGCTTGCGTCCGAAGAATAGGCTGATAGCACTCATGGACATGGTGACAGGGTGTAGAGATAACGCGACTTCTCAACACCGATAAACTTTTATCGGTCTGAATACTGGCTTTCCAAAATAAACAAGTTTCAAGTTCATATGTGAAAGGATAACGCGAATCCGGTACGCTTTCGTGCTGCTCTTTGTTAGTCCACGGCATATTCTCATTCGGACAGACTCGCTTTATGCAAATGAGCTTTGACCCAAATGCTTTGTTTACTCCTTGGCTGTTTTAAAAACTTCCCTCGTGGAACGTTATTGTAGTAATATGTGCGTTTCTTCTGGTCGACTGCAGGATAAATACGCTGAAAATACCGCAATCGCCTTCCAACGGTTTTATTGCCTGTTGCTGTAACGGGATTGCCGCAGGAGACACGATCTCGATCTCAAACCTTGTTTTCGTTTGTCCTTTCCACGAGCAGGCTATAATTGGAAAGAAACATGTGCTTGCATGATGGACAGGCCCTGACAGGTCACAAAGATTATCTTCTTTTGTGTCCCCCCAAAATCCTTGGAAATTCGAACCTCACTCATTGTGGGGTTTCTTCGAGGACTCACGTCTTCTTTTCCCAAGGCTTCCAGCTGGGGAGGAAATAATTTTTTTTTTCCCCGGAGGAATTGCTCAATAGAGTCTCGATGCCTCGACGAGCTGAATGAATCTCTCATGTTTGAAAGATGTGGGAAAAGGAAAATCCTCTCGAGATACCCAAGGTCCCCGTTATGCAATTCAGCGGTTGCTGCTTTTCCCGTCTAGGGCCGAGATTAAAAAATACTCCAAGCGTTCTCCTGAAGGACGTGAAAAATGGATCTTCTTCGTTCATTTTCATCTCATCTTCTCTCGAATCCCCAGTCGACGGAGAAGGGGAGAATCAATATTGAAGATTGCACGTGTGTGTGTAGAGGGAAGAGAGATGATGGAGTGCTTTGCTAATAAGGTTACGTTTTCTCTTCTCCACGTCCCTTGAGGATGCAAAACGGAAATGAATGAATGTCCCATCCCTTGATTGCTTCCTTCTTCCTCGGGCTCATGGAAAAGCCAGGGTTTTTGGTGAAAGGACCATCATGCATCATCACGATCCCCACGCCCCTCGGTCATTAGGAGAAATGCAAATGCAACCGAGACTCCAATTATATGTATATGAAAGAGGCTAGGGAGGATAATTTATTCGGGTCAAGGTACAAAACCGCACGCAGACAGAATGTACACATTTAAATTCTCTCTGATAAGATATGACCTCGGTTCTAGTACAGACGGAAAAATCTGCAAACTCCACCTGGCATCTCCCACCGACTCTTTGGCAACTTCATGCAGTTTTGCGATGCTCTATTTCGACATGAGAAGGACTTTCGCCTTCCGACAACAAGCCCTTGCTCCACTTTTTGCTCGTCGAGTGACGGAAGTATCTTAGAATAGCAACAGGAGAGTCTCATTTTCACACCTATGCAGAAACGAATCCGACTCATCCATCAGTTGCACCCTGGTATATTTGACAGGCGAAGTAACTATCTTGCCAGATTCTCCCGGCTTTCCCTCGATCCCTCGTCTGGAAAATCTAACGGAAGGTGACGGATAGTGACTGAAAGGGTGGGAATATATTCATCTTCATCTACTCCTTAGGGAATCTCCCACGTGCATGCACTGTCACGTACGCCCACTTTCATCAAAGTCCCATCCCGTGTTTCATTTACATTCCAAGTGATTAGTATTTCCCTTCTCCTAAGGTGGTGAGGGGGAACTTCTTGCTTGCTCGCCGCGTAACCCGACTCTGTCCATCAGCTGTCCTTTCCCACCGCCGTATTTATTCAGTGTTGATCACACAGGTCTCTGGTTCCAGAGTATTTTTCCTTTTTATCTCCCCATCTCCCTCGGACAGTGAACAGGGAAGAAAGTTGTCTGATTGTATCCGGCCTTTGCAGTATCCAGCGTGTAGTCATGGCTACGGATGCGAATGCGATCCGCTCCTCTGCCTTGCTGGAATTTCCCCCCCACAACATACATACCTTTGCAATTAAAAAGACCCCCCTCTCGTTCCCCCTCCGTCCGTTCCATTTCAGTAGATAGACTCTGGCTTCGTCAACAGGGAGCCCTAAGAGGATGATTAATCATTTTTAATACTATTTTACCCCAGAATAGGCTTCGTCTTCCATTCATCGCTGAATTCCCCTCGCCTTTTAGGAAAAACACACTCTGTTCCCAAAGTGCCACGAATGGGTTTTTATTACGTCAATCAGGGCCACGACATGCAACAACAGGCGAAGCAGACATCTTTCCATCGATTCAGAGTTTCCTGGTTTCTTTCAAGTCAATGATCACAGATAGTCGCAAATACCCGGGCAATATCGCGGGCTAGCCAAGGATGAAACTCATTCAATATACGCTTTCTCCTTCTTCGTAGGTAATCCAGAACGAGGAGAAAATGGAGGATGTGGGAAGGGGTGAATGTACACAGATGAGGAAGATGCCGGGATTTCGTTCTCAGGAGAAGGCACAGAAGAGCTTCTTCCACCAAGCCCTTCTCTTTTTCCCCCGGGTTGGAAACGGAGGACATGGAGCATACCCGTCCCCCACCTTGCTTTTGTCGTTGAACAGGAGCCACTTCTTGCCCCTGGTTTTGCTGAGAGTCAATCGGTTCAGTTCCTGGTTGTGTTTTAGGGCACACAATATGGAAGTGTCGAAGACCTCCTTCAGATTCCGTTCGGTGAGGGCCGAGCTCTCGATGTAAGCGTAGGCGCCCACCTTCTGAGCGAGTCGCCTCGCCTCCGCTTCGCTCACGGGCTGTTCGCGGAACCGGGCAAGGTCGATGAGGACCTTCACATCGCTCCGCAGGTCACACTGGGTCCCGACCAACACAAACGGAGTCGAAGGACAATGGCGACGGAGTTCCGGCAACCACTTCTCCGTCACGTTGTGAAATGACGTCGGGGATACGACACTGAAGCAGACGAGAAATACGTCGGTGTCCGGGTAGCACAACGGCCGCAGACTGTCGAAATCGTCCTGGAAAAGGAAACGAAAACAAAATAATTACTATATACAATAGTATGCGAGGCAATAATTATTGACATTTAGTGTCAATCGTTGCTGTTCTGCGTGTTCTCCGAAAATGTTCTCTATTTTGCTTTCCCATGCATCGAGGTGCAATAGGACGCATCCCATCATCATCGGCGCCTTTTTACGCGATTCATAGCGAGAGAGGGATCGGCCCCGATGCTTTTTCAAAACAACAGGTGTGTTTCTCACGTGTGGGAAAAGCGGGCGAGAGGAGATAGAGGGCAGAGGAAAACCAGTTGCCCGAACGAGGACACACACCGATCATAATCATTGCACATCGAACCACACATACTTGATCCTCTCGGTCTCGAACAATACACCAGAGAGAAAGTCTTTTGAGGACGCCGTCCTAATTCTCCCTTCACATCGATGGGAAGAGACGTACGAGAACATAGATTTTTGCCTGATCTCAACGAAGTTGAGAGAAAAGAATAGGAGGTCTAAGATGGATGATTGCGCAAGCAGGATTCCCCGACTTCCTTCCGGAGGCGGCGACTTTTCTTCCTTCAAGGGCTCTCTCTCCTCTTTCTTCTCATCAGCCTACGGCTATGAGGCTAAGGATAAGGGCTAAGGGCTGCACGTGTACTCCTATTGGCACTTATTCATGGATGCTGACGTAGGGGAATTCCTTTTCTCCTCTCTCTGGCTCTTATCTAAGTGTGGCCAGCAAAACGCAGGAAAAAGGGCCTCTCTCATTAGAGAAGGAACGAGCCACACGCAATGATTTCAGATAGCAGAGCAAGGCAAGGCAAGGCAAGGCCATGCCATGCCGTGCAATGTATCGTCACGCACGAGAGAACTTGATACCCCCCTCCCCCCCTTTCAGTCGGAGACGGCATGGCGACATTCGAGTCGACGGGGAGAAAGGGGAAACGAAAGAGGCCTCGATATAAGGTAAAAATACCGTTCAACTCCTCTCCAGGTGGATGACAAAAAAAAGGCAGACATTTCCCAGAAAAGGAGAGCGGGACGTGAACCAACTGGGCGAACAGGAAACGGGTTGTCATTATCCTAGCGAGCAGGTTTCACGCCTGGTTTGGTTACCGGAATTCAGGTACACAACCTCTCCTTTCTGAATCAAATGTGTGAATCATGCCAAATTATAACTAACCACTTCCAATCCCAGTGAATGGGGAAAGGGGAACTCCCATGAAAGCAATTGAAGTCTAATGCTCGTGACTGAGATCGAATTCCAACATTTTTCGGGGCGCGTGTGAATAGTGATGTGTTGACGCAGTTTTAGAGGTGAGTCAGCTCAGGTAGGGGGAAAAAAAAACGTGCAAAGAAAGCAAACCAAGGTGGACGCGTTGTGTGAGAGAGAAGTCCCGTGTTTTCCCATAATTGCCCGGATCATTAGATGACTCATCGGCATCAGAGCATGGCATGCAACGAACATGGAACGGCAAGACAGAACCTTTTTTTTTCCCTGGTTCTCTTTTCCGTGTGTGCCATGTGGCAAAATGACGGCATGACTCACTTTGTACGTGACGTTCCCTCGCTCAACACTCACGAGCCGACATAGGCCTAATGACGCCGAGAGAACGACTGATGCGCAATTAATTACTCCCAACCCCTACCGCTCACTCCAGTTCTATATATGGAATTGATATTTTTCCTTTGTATGCTGTTCGACGAAAGCCGAGTCATCCCCCGGCTCTAACCTTGGCTTTTATCATATATCCACAGTCTGTTGAAAGAAAGTGGGATAGACGTGGCAGGAACTTCCATCTTCTTCAACATCCCCAACCCCACCTGTCCTTGAGATTATAAGAATGAGGGGAATAAATCGGCGGTAAATTCATTGTAAATACTGGAGATTTCCTATAATGCTCCTATTTTCGAAGTGACCTTCATTGAAATAGTATAAAAAGGGTACTAGTTGGTAAATCAACACAGAAGGTAAGAGTGACTGACGCTATGGTATATTTTTTTATGTGTTAAAAAGAGAAATTCCTCCATTCATGTAAAACAATATAAAAATGCCACTCCAGTGTGGCAGCGAGTGCGTTCATTCTGCTCCGACTGGAATATTGGAGCCTACCTCGAGAACCTCAAAATATTTACTCTTTTGAAGGAAGTGTAATCAGAGTTCAAGGATTTTATGACAAGGGAGACGTGGACAGTGTCGTATTGCTCTAGTGCATGTGTTAGATCGCACTCTCATACGCGATGCTCCCGACTTGCCGTCCCAGTTCGATCAAAGAAAAACGAAAGACTTGGGGAAACGCATTTATGCATTTAGACATCGCAAACATTCCAGGATTTCGTATCGATGCTCATGGAAAAATGTAGTTTCCCATCGCTCAAATAATCATAAAAATGTAACAAAAATGATGGATTCGTGACCTGAAGGTGCAGCTAAAGGAAGTTGATTATTTTGGGTGTAATCCAAGGGCGTTACTAGCCTATCTATCCTCACAATACACGATCAGTGAGAAACTGAGCGCATCTCCCCATCCGCTGGATATGATATTAGTTGGCCCCTTCGTTATTCTGATCTTGTTTCTCTGCATCCAACCATGAAAGGAGAAGCCGGAAATATTAGTGTATGAATATAATGGGTTTAGGGCTTTAGTCCGAAGTTTCTAGTATCAACCGTGGTCGTCTTTCCTCCATCGGCTTGTCATTAATGAGATAGTAGGCAACCCCTTTCTGACTGGTGGGCCCAGGCTCGCAGTCTAGAAGCAGTAAAAGGCTGGGTTATTAAATGAAAGAGGGAAGGCAAGGCAATCAGTCAAGAGCCGCGAGAGGAGCAGCTGTTTCGCATGGGAGGAGAAAGAGGAGAATGCACCGATGTCACATGTGCTAAGTCGCAGGAAAGAGAAAAGAGAAGGGAAGGAAAGGCCTTATCCATTGCTCATGCTGTCCTTGCTAAAAAAAAAAAAAAAAATCCATTGCCCCAGGCCGATTCCCATGAAACCTGTGACGAAACCAACCTACCACTACCACCACCGGTCTCATTCCCAAATGACCCTCTTTTTCTTTTTTTCTCCCTCCCCCCTCCCTGCAAGGAAAATTGCTTCTAACGACGTCGATCCGTTTCTCGACCCGAAGCTTCCGCCTCGTGAAGATGAACGTGAATGGGGCGCATGAAACGTGCATGGCTAACCCCTCTCTCTCACGTAGAGATTACGATTGCGACACACACAGGATGTCCTTCATAATGCCCTCAAGAGATAATTCTACTTTCCGCCCATTTCCTGCCGGGACCCACCTGCAGGTTGTTATATCACGGGGAAGGGCAATAACTTGCCCTTGCAGTAATCCATAGCTGCAGGGATTGGAAGACAAGATGGGGGAAACGGATTAGGCCGAAGAAAGGTGATACCCTCCAGGAAAATAACACGCACATGTTGTGCGTCGCAGACAAGTCCAGTCTTGCTAGAGGTCAACCATAACCAATAACTCCTACGAAAAGCCTGATACACCATTATTCCCCCTTTTCGCTGCTAAATAGAGAGGAGATGAATATCCTACAAAGTCGTCCTTGAATCCACCAGAGCCCTTTGTTTTCTTTGGCATCGTCAATCTATCCGGGACAAACAATTCGGACGGAAGATTCATCTTTTTTCTCTCTCCCTCGAGAAGCAATAAAAGGGGGGAGGAGGCAAAAGGGAGAGTGAAGAAAAGGGTGAGATGGATGGGAAGATAAAAGGGGGGGAATTGCGTTTTCTTATATCTTTCCCCTGGGGAGAGAATAATGTAAACAACATGGCTGCCAATATGACCCAGCGGGGGGCATAAAGAACCGACTGTCGCGTGGGGACTGGAGATTCAGCCCCCTCTTATTTTTCTTTCTTCATCCCTGACAACAGAACTTATTTATGTGATGCCGGTGGAATCACGCGAAACTCCCCTTATACAGAGGTCCGGACCCTCAGGAGTGGGGCTTCGAGTCAATGCCCGAATGGCACGCACGAACTCGAGCAATGAAAGAATCCTCTGGAGGAAAAAAACATGAACCCTTTCGTGACTATCCCAGAATTTAGCCTGGTAAACATTTCTCCGGAACGCAATTCTGTGCGTCTTAATGGAAGGAAAACCGGCTTGAATGCCTAGAATATTCCCGTGATTGATTCTCGACATGCTCACCCACGTCGTCCACGAAGGGGCAGAAGAAAAGCTGCTCTAACCAGTTTTCATGTCAGAATCATGAGGCTTAGAACAAGTCATCCTCAACCGAGGATATGGATCTTAAAGGATACAATGCAACCAAAGCGTTATTGTATCCCTCGCTTTCCGACAAGGGTAGAACTGCAACGGAAGCTACCCGATTGCAATGACATTGGGATTGCCCTTGGAGGCGACATATATACAGAAAGATTTACGAACTGAAGAGGAGTATACCCGACATAGCTGACAATCACAGGATAGTCACGCCTTTTACCGCGAGTCACCATAAACGGTTATCTCCAAGATAGGATTTAGTGAGGAGGGATCCTCTCCTATAATGCCGAAGGAGGAGAAAGACAAGACAGTGAAGGAAGGAGTTCATTGCCTTCTATAGCCCTCGGCAACACCCAATGGAAAACCAAACCAACCGGATCGCCATGAAAAGGCAGACACACAGGGCTCAATGCATGTCAAGCCAGTCTTTTGCTTTCCTCCCCCCCCCCCCCTCTCTCTTTCCTGACCGACTCAGAGGGAACCTTTCACCAGGACTTCCTTTTTTATTTCGCGTGCTCACGATGATCCCTGGAAAACAAAGCAGGGAGGGGGGAAAGATCTCTGGCCACTTTCGCTGGAGATCAACAGTAACAGGCTCTTGTCAGCTGCCGCTTTCAATTAGGCCGAAAGAGACGTGGACTGGTCCGTCTCAAGAACCAGGGGTGCATTTGCTCTCCATCACGAAGGAGATTGGTTTTCGGACAAACAAAAGCCGAGACAGACCAAGGGGGTCATGATAACCTGTCGTCGCCAGGGCTTTCATGTTTCTCATGCGCTGATAGAAGGAAAGAAAGGCACATAATGCATCATTGTTTCCTAGGACGAGGAGACCCTTTCATTAGATACCATTTCCGATTTCCGCCTTCTCACAATGGATCGGTGAGAGCCGGAACTTCTTCCTGGGCCAACAAGTCACGAGGGTAAAGAAAGCGAGGAGGAAATATGTGCGAGAAAGACAGAGAAAAACAATAATAACAAGAAAGGAGATGGAAAGAGTTTGCCCGGCGAAAACCTCTTCCCATGTTTTTCTTTTCCAATTCCCACAGTGAACACCATCCGATTCCGGGTGTCGAAAACTGTGCCAACTGCAGGCACTTATTTCCTATTCTTATTTATACCCTTCCTCCCTTACTCATATAGCATGATATATGACCTCGAAAGGAAGGAGGATGATGAGTCGTATACGGCTGGAGCCATTATAAAAAAAAAAGGAAAGAGGAGAAACGGCATTAAACCAGCCAGCGTTTGACGCACGACCTTCCGACAAGATATCTGAGTTCCCAGCCACCCACGTCGGCTCCGAAAGGTTAATCGCATTCATATCCATGCACCGTCTCTCTATATTCGTATCCTCGTATCCGATTTCAAACCAGATGGCATCGGAAAAGCCACGTCTCGCCGTATACAGTCATCGCCTAATAAAATTCATACGCATTTGACATATCGCTGAGGTTTTTCCTTTTTTTCTGAATGCCACACACGCAGAGAGCAGACGATTATCGCGAGATTGGAGTGGTTCCCACAACCGAAATACTTTTGGCATGGGAACGAAAATACCTTATCATGCTCAAAGGCAGCGCCGAACATACCGTCTCTTCGGCTCTCTATTTTTCTTCCGTGTGACTAACTGAGTGATGTTTGCATGGCAAATGAGACCAGTCACAGCGTCAAGTACTCGTATGTACAGAAGGGGTTGATTAAGGAGTCCTTTCGACGCGGCAGGGGATTGCGAAAGTGCTAGCTAACTAGACCACAGGAGTCAAGGAACCTTTACAGTTCGCATAGACAATGGAAGAAGGAGAAATGGATAGAAAAGAATACAATGCGAATGCTCAATTACCTGTCCAGCAGTATCACAGAGCTGAAGACGTATGGGCTGGTTGTCCACGTTCACCACCACTGTCAAGGAAGAGAGAGAACAACCAGACATTAACTCTCGGATGATGGAGTTTGCAACAATTCATCTGTGAGATACGGCCTGTCCTTGAGCATGCTATTGTATGGTGATCCGGTTCATATGGACAAAATGCAATGGAATAATCCTTATTCAACTTCCTGTAGCGAGAGTGCAAGGGTCACCATGACTCAGAGCTCGGGCTCAATTCCGTGAAACGTGTTAGGAAATGAAACAGGCCCCTTTTAAAATGGATGAAGGATTGAAAGTGGAATGCGATGGGATGAATTCATCAGGGGAAATGCAGCTCGGAAGAGGGGGAATAGAGATGAAGCGCAGAATTTGATGAAGATTGCTCGACTCTCCCCTCCGTCCGAGAAACAAGAGTGGAGGGGGGAAAGACCATAAAAAGCAGTACGGACTTCTTCTCTTCGTCTCTGTAGATCGAGAATGAATCAATTCAGTGCAGCTGCATGGAGGGGAGCCAGAGAGAGGGGGAGGGGAAAGACTGGGCTTCTGATGATGTCAGTGCTGATCTCTCACAATGGATCCCAGGATTTCCCTGCATTAGCCTCTCTAAGTCTTTGTTGTGAAGATCGAATGACCTGCCCCGAATACTGGATCCCATGACCCCAGGACCACAATCCCCAGCTTTCCCACCGGCATTACCCGCATTATGTGGTATCTGAAAGCCCAGATATGCGAGAGAGAAAGGAAGCAGAGCGTGGATGGAAAGGATGACCTCACATCCACGGACGATTGCATTTGGAAGGGGACGTGGAGGGAGAGAGGGAGGGACCCTGGGGAAGGAGATGCAATTTCTCTCTCCTACGAACATCCCCTTTTTTGGATTCTTCCTCAATTAAGACTGGGGTCTCTTCCCACAACATACCCTCCCACGTAGAGCACGAAATGCCGTGACATGGACAAAATGAGAGAATTCCCCCAGCTCTGGGAATTGTGGCTGCTAATTTCTATCTCACGGGGTCAGGAGAAAATGACTTTCAGCCCCAGGGTTCCTTTTCCTCCATATTTACGAATCCACATTCGTAAAAAATGGCTCAATTTTATGCTCACCGCCTCGTTGGGGAGGGGAAACGACATTTTGTGGGCTGGACAAGAGGGTCTAAATTTCCCACGGGATTCTTTACTGCGCCATTTGGGGTATCAGAGGGGATGGGGAGATACTTGCAGTAGGTTAATCTCCATCGATTCCACGATGGACAGACACTGGATCTGCTTCTCATTGGATTTACAGGAGGACAAAGGACAAGAGGCCGGGGGAGGGGATGTGAAACGAGAGGCAGGGATTTCGTATCCCCCTCTTCCTACTCTACCTTCCCTACTCCAGCCTCAATAACGATGTTTTTCCATATTGCCAGAGAAAAACATCATCGATTGGGCTGTTTGTAGGAGAGAATAGTCTCGCTATAAGCTACATATGAGAACACCGAGACAAAAGGGCTGTGGAAAGGGAAGGCCGAAGCCTGGGTTTTGCCAGCTGGAAAATTCCTCAATAACGTCATGCTTGGCTGACAGTCTTCCACAAACAACCTGACAAAACGTACAGGAATGAGCAAGGGAAGGCAGAAGAAAGAAAATGCAATTTTATAACGCTTTCCCTCCTATCAAATAAAATTCCCTTGTACTGTTTATGAGGCCCCTAGGCCCATCCCGCATCAGCATAGAAATATGAAGAAAAACAGGGGCCCCTTGCAGTTTCAACCTGTGTTATTTCCCAGGCATCTCGACCCCAGGCAATCTGTCGGCTGGATGATAAAAGACGGCGTTTTTCACCAAGGGCATAACAATTCCACGAGGGGGCTGTGTACTACGTTATAACAGGAAAATAACAAAGGTTCATTCTCTGAAGTTCACCTTCAATCAGAGCGTAACAGTTCAACATGTGGGCATGCGGAACTGATTCCTTGGCTTTTCGCCGATATCCCTGCGCTCATGTACATGCAACAAATGTGGACTCCGTGCCAAGCCTGCTTGCCAGGACTGATAGCACCTCTGAATACTATCTTGCACTCAACTTTATGGGGCCACTTTCGAGAAAATAAGATAGGATAGGTCTACATGTCAATGGTGACTGATCGGAAATGCAAGAGCCCTCACCGTTATAATTATCATACGCAGTTGGTTGATACTCAGTAGGATAACCGTTGGTGGTGTAGCTGACAATGAGAGATGTCTTTCCTACGGCTCCATCCCCGACAAGCACACATTTGATCTTCCCTTTGCAATCGCTGAAATGTGGGCTGCTGCTGTGACTGTTGATGAGGAACGGCGTGGCCGCACTTCCATTCGGACTGGCAAACGGTGGCATGACGACAGTGACTGCCTTTTTCACAGCCGGGAACACATACCGTCTCACAAAAAAAAAGGCTACGATGAGAACGACGAAAAGGAAGAAGCAAGGGAGTTATCACAGCGAGAAGGGGGGAGGAAGTTCTGCCCCTATCTCACACACATGCAGAGACGACAGGACGTGACCCGCACGTATGCAGGCTCGGCGAGCAATGGGGGAAGGGGGAACGGAACAAGAGACGGAGAGGTAGCACAGCTGAGAGGAGATTGGTTCTTCTTGTCCGGCAACCCTGCTCGTGCTAGACCTCCTCTCGAGCCACTCCAGAACGATTATCCTCATCTAGATTTCGAGATTTTTCTCTCATGCACGATGATTCAAAGTTTTATTCTCGTACATGTCGAATGCCCTTAGATAACGCTTTGTGACGTAGGTTCAAATATGAATTCAGGACTGGTCTATGGGTTGAATGTTACGAGTTTACAGTAGAACTTGTTACATGCTTGCCGTTTGGAAACTGTCTAACTTACATGAATCATTATCAATACTTTAAAGTCATAGAGTTTCGATTGCTTAATTAGTAAATAGTGAATAAAAAATATTGTGCGAAAATCAAACCCGACGGAAGAGACAGCCATCGGATTCCTCGAACACACCGCTATGACAATATATATATTTGCCGATTGTTGAATGCAATGAGATTCTGTATGATACTTAGGGGAAGCAATACGGAAGCCAGGCTTCATGTAACATTGGACGGATTCATGATCCCAATGAACTGGGTGGATGACGTCATTTTTCGCAGTTTCCTAGAACTGCCACGAAAATGAGACTTTTACTCAGCAGAATTTTCATTTCGTTGCATGACGTCACGGATGGCTGTCATCGTCTCCATCTAAACATAGCGGTACTCAAGGTTCCTATAATAATAAAAAGTTGAGCAGTGGTGAGTTATCGTGGCTCCCAATTTGCTGTAGATAGGACAAACACTTATGTATTCTACTTATGCATTCTATCTGGATAAGATATGTTTCACCGGAGATGACGAACAGAGCATTCATGCGGAGGCCAAGAACGCTTCGTCTTCTTTTAAAATCTGGCCGTCATCCATCAGCGGAGCCCGGATTACGCTGAATTTAAAAATTGCGACTTTCGTTTGTGGTTGCTGGATGGCTGGTTGGAGTCCCGAATGTGCTTATTATTACACCATCGATGGCTTCACGCTCTCAGTCATCTGCAGGGGATGCTGGGGGCCTTTTGGAAAGTAGATTTGAGGACCGTCGAATTACATATGATTGTTTCTGCGCGAGCTGTTTCTGCCTTGCATGCGAAGCGAAGTCCCTCCTTAAGTATATATTGATAATAATTCAAGTCTCTTCCTGCAAAGAAAACCTTGGTACAGTCACTCAACCATGCCATGTTGGACCGAGCGAAGTAGGAACTTTTCTGTAGTAGTGTGCAGAAACGGGTCTGCAAAACAGCAGTGGTGGGAGGAAATTGATCATCGTCGCAGAATTCGATCGCGATCCCCGTCCATCTGTGACAGTCACTTAGCCCGGACTAGATGCCTCTGGTGTGCAGATATTGACCATTTGCATAATTACCAACTGGATTAGAGGTATCTTTCCCAGTTTTTCTCAATATACTAGGGATTCAATCATCCGATCATCGGTTTTCATCATGTTTTCCTGGCAGTCCCCGGCAGTCCTGGGAGGAAACAGTCCTATATTGTCGCTCACTAATATCGTATGACCAGGGCAGAGGGTTGAGAGTAAATGTACTAAGCAATAAGAGCAATTCTCAAGTCATATTGGAAGAAGCCCTCAGTTTCTGCGACCAGCAAAGTCGAAACAATGTCATAATCATTCCAATGCTTTTCCACGGCGTGGGGGAGACAGGATGAAGGAAAGGGTGCGAACTACATATGTTTTACTGGAATCATTCATCGGCTTGACTCAATCCGGACATTGAAGATTTGAATATTCAAGAAAGTTTATTCACTTTAGAGTTGAGACACGTCTCAGAAATAAATTAAGCCCTAGCGCAGAGCAAAGACAACAGGAAAGTTGGAAAAGTGAAGCAACTAAAAGCAAGAAAAGCGACTAATTAAGATGAGAAATTAGACATAAAGAGAACTTATTGCTTCCAAATGTAATTGGCCCCACCCGCATGAATTTCTAGACTTCAAATAAAATGTTCCCTTCTCAGAAGTTCGTCTCGAAGTTTGGCCTCTTGAGTTTCGGAGAGTGCATTCAACCTCACATCCAGCTGTTGAAGATGAGGGGTTTCCGTCAACGCCTCCACGATTCTCTCTCCATCTTCCTGTACAATGCATTGCACTTAGATCCCCTGTCGGACCGAAGAGGTGAGGGGTCGCTTTGTTTTTCTCTCTCTCACCTGGTCGATATCGTTGCAACTGAGGTCGACTCGAGTCAAAGACTTGACCCTTTCCAATAAGTGAACGAAGGCTGAAACGAACTCGTGGTGCAGATGGTTACCGGACAAACCGAGAAATTCCAGTTTCAAACTTTTGTTCTTGGCTAATTCTCGGCACATGTTCGATCCTCCAGTATCTTTTATGTTGTTCAGGCTCAGGTCCAAGGATGTGATGCTTGTCTCTTGTTCATTGAGGGATTCTGCCAGCTTCCAAGCCCCAAAACATCCTATTAGAGAAATATTCCAGTTTCCCCGAGGCATCTAGATGAAAACCGGACAATTTTCTCTCGACTGAGCAGGGAAGACGAACCCAATCGATTATCGCGCAAGTTCAGGAATTTTAATTGTCGGCACAGGATGAGGAATGCAGCAATGTGTGGGACGGAGTCTGGACCTAGAGCATTATGAGACAAGTCCAGCGAAATTAATGAGGAAGCAAGACTGAAGGATTGCAAAAATCGCTCGAGGCGTACGTCGTCCAAACTGCTGACTGTCCATCTGAAACATAAAGAAGACACGACGTCACAAAGCGAATCCTGAAAAGGAAGACAACTTTATTGCGAAATTTTGCACGACCGGAGAGTTTTGAGCTTTGTGGCATTTTCAGAGAGTGCAGTGGCCAAACGAGAACAATCCTCTTCGGGATAATTTATTCCTCTCACGGAAAAATCCTCTGCTCCGCATTTTTGGGCACTGCAAAAGCTGAAGGTCTGTACTCAAATGGAGAAAAATATTTACCTCATTATTATCAACGCATGGACTCGTTTGACGTAATCTGATGTCATCCGTCTCATTTCTGGAGACATCAACCAACCTACAAGTTGATCTTCAAACTAAAAGATAATCTAACCTCTAAATTAGGAAGTTGTTGAAGCACGGCGGGGATGTCAAGAAGGGTGTAAACAGGTTGTCGTTCGCTTTTCTCCACCGAACCTGGCCATGTATGGTCCTCTGGTTCGGAATTGGAGAGTTCGAAACTGGATTCCTTGGGTTTTATTTCCACCCTCTGTAAATGACGGATTTTCAAGTCTTTGATTTCCTTCCCGAATAGTTCCAGCTGACTCCACAGCTTCCGTTCTTCTTCTACTTCTCCTCCATAGGATTCAATGATCGTCGACAGGATGCTTTCGAGGTACAGTCGTCGGTGGCTTTCATCCTCTTTCAACACCCGGGGACCCTATGTCGCAAGGAAAGAATACGAAATCAAAATGTTTTCATATTGATTTTCGCTGATTTCTTTTTCAACTTCTTTCTTTTCTTAAATCATTTAAGTTTTTGTTTCGTGCAATCCCAGCCTTTAATGACATCATTGTTACCCCTGAAATTTTCATGTATTACTTTTTTGCAATTTTCCCAGGGACTCCCTCTACCACTACAGTCAATGACAATATAGATATAAGAAACTATATGACCTTTTCATTTCCTTATTATCTCATTTTTGGCCTTATCAGTTACTTTCATCTTTCAATCCACAAAAAGGAAAAGTCTGCATGCAGGCATGTTCGGAACGTACACTGAACAGCTCTTCAATGCGTATGATGCAATCTGGTCATTGACAGCTTTCAGAATGGAGCAATCTTTTTGCTCTAAAGTTGCCCATTAGGAATCAGCAATCTGTGACTGATTACCAATGGGTAACCTCAGTCATCATTTACTGATTATATTATTTAAATAACTTTTCAAAATCTATGCACAGATGAGAAATTTAGTGCAGAAAACTTACTTCGTCAAGCGTGTCCCACCGTCGTTGCCAGTATTTCTTGCTTTGAACGTGAAGGCAAGCGATATCCAGAGGTAAATTAGTTGAGAGACGTTGAGCTACGTCTTCCTGTTCGTGCAAATCGAGTGCTTTGTAGGATTCTGCCAGATCTGGTAAATCGTTGTAATAAGCATGATGACCTCATCCACAAGAGCATGCGCAACCATAATACACAACTAGGCATAAAAGTAGCAGCAAGCCTACCTGTGAAAGCAGCGGCTATGGCGTTAGAACAAAGATCTTCGAGTCTCTTAGGTATGGGAATCTTCTCTTCCCAATTAAAGCAAGTTACGTGTGGTAATTCCATTTTTTGGGACGCGACGACAAGAGCAGGCACAGTATGTGTCCGTCTGATGGTCCCTCGGTGTTTGATCGTTACTCAATCCAGGATGAAATATTCACTGGTCTCGTGCATGTTTTCCATCAGGAGTGGAAGTTTACCGAAGTTTCTGCTTGCAATGCCATTTTGAGCCTCTGTGGGAATTAAAAGGAGAATTTCGATGAATTTGGATAAGGATCGGGACGGAGATAAAGGACTGGCTCTTTTCCTCACCTAGCAGACAATCAGCTAAGCGCTGGTTTCGGTAACCATATATAGATGTCAGGAGGGTGAGACAAGATGTCGCTTACAGGCTTCCTTTTCCGTTCTCACTTTTCAAGGAACATGGCGTTTATCACCACGCGCTCTTTGGGCCTGATATCTGGGCTAGATATAGATGTGGCCTATCTAACTTAATTATTAGAAGTCGATTCGCTGGCCTAAAATTTCTAATTGAATGGAACCAATCCGAAGGCCAAAGCCGGGTGAAGATGAAGATACTCTTCTGGCTGCTCAGAAGGAATTTCTGTTCAGAAAAGAGGCACCCTCTGCCCACGTGGCACCGAAGCCAGGTGGGACCATTGAAGATGTGGGTGAAAACGTGCGCATTACTAGTCACGAAAGGCCTAACAATGGTGAGAGAAATTCAATTGCTTTCGTTTTTTTTCTATATTTATTGGCTTTGCATTATTAACCAAAGTTAGGCATAGGCCGAACAGGGATCATTATTTTAAATTTCCCGATCCACTATGCTCTCGCCCTCCGTATGCATAACCCCTATATATTCTGTTTCTCTCGCCTCTTCCATGTTTTCGCTCCTGTGTTTTGTTCTTTATTTTCTAGTTCTGCTTTATTTCCTTTTGTTGTGTTTTGGTCGTTATGTATTCCCTTCCATATTTCTTGGCTGTCAGTGTCCACTGCTTTGTATGCCAAAATAAACGGATACATAGGAAATAAAAAATAAAAATCGTTATCTGGAAAATTATGGACAGACAGTATATTAATATTGCTGAGGGTAAGATGTAGGGACTGGGAAATGTTGAGGCTCCTCAATTGTGTAGACTTCTTGAGCAGGACCAGGAAGAGTGAGACAATTTCTAAGGCATTTTCTCTGTTTTTCTTTTTTTCTCAGTTTGCTTCAAACGTTTGGTACATGTCAATATTTTGCATCCTATTAGTTGCTAGGCTCATGCCTTGTGACTCACTGCAATGAAAGCTGGTTTTCAGTGAGTTCTTGTGGAAGTGAGATGATTCAGTGAATAGAATGCATTTTTTACTGCTTTGTCATGCTAAATACTTAACCTTGAATTTAGGAAAATACCCTGAAAACTTCTTTGTTTCTCAATCTTGAAGTGTCTTTTCATTGCTATATAGCTAGGGTTACCATACATCCAGTTTTTCATGTACATATCCTCTTTGTTAGCTTTTTGTTTGGGAGAAAGACATCCTTATGGACCACATGTCTGGATTTTTTCCTTGGATATTTCCCCCCTTTTTACCTTCAAATTTCCATCTGACCTCTAAGCCTTTGCTTTTTAACTGTCTGAAATATGGGAACCTTAGACCAGACAGACTTGAAAGACTCAGTTATGGAAAGTGAAATACTTAAATGAGAGTGTGAAAAGGAAAAGTTTTACAAGTCTAGAACTTGACTTGAAGTTGCCAACATTACTGTATTTTCATTTCATTATCTTATAATGGGGAAGTTCTATTCAATGCATGTTTTTTGCCTCAAAGAAGAGTCATGTGTGTATTGAGGCATCTTCTCTAGCCTTACTTGCTAGGCCTATACTATAGATTTTTTTTACATCTTTACCCTCTGATCTTCTTATTGCCAAAAGAGGGTGTGGCAATTCTTGTAATTCATCTGAATATAAATTAGTTGATTTTAATTGGGTTTCACAGTTTTAACAATTCCAGTATTGAAAGGAGGCTGGAGTAATATGGACATTTTTCTCAAAGGGTTTTCATGAAGGACCTGGATTTAGTTTGTCAGAAGAGATCATCCCAGGCTATGCAATGCATAAAGGATAAATGTAAGTATGTCTGATTGATATGCAGATGATTATTGTGTTCTCAGGAAGAAATGTCCAAGAACTTTACAAAGTAGGAATAGAGGATGGTATAAAAAGTTTGAGTAGATAATGACCATTAAGTTCATTCTGATCTTGATGGGAATGTACAATAGTAGCCCTATGAGATTACAATAATTAAATTGCTTTGATCTCTAGTAAAATCAAAGAAATTTTGATTGTGGTCTCCAAACAGGTGAGGACATCCTACAAGGAAGTGTCAGTGTCCTTGGAGATGTGGTTGAACGGAATGTGAAGAATAGGACAGGTGATGGTGAACTTGTTCAGTTGCTGCCAATGGCTGTCAAGGAGGGGCATGTTGAAGTTCCTTCACAAAATAAACCAAGAAGCCTTTTTGCATCTCAGATGAAAAGATCGAAAGCTCCCTTGAATCAAAAACTGCTTGGTGAACTAGGTAAGTCTTCCAGCAACTACTAAAGATCATGGAACATTTATATCATGGAATTCAGATCATGGAATCTTTCTTGCAGTTGTTGAAAGGGGCTTTTACCAAGCAAGTGTCATATTAGATGGAATGGGTCTGGAAAGAGGAAAGGAGGATGCAGAGGCCATTCATCAGGAAAACATAGAGAAATTGAGTCAGATGACTCGAGAAGAAATTCTTCTAGAACAACAGAAACTGCTTGCTTCTATAGATCCAAAAATTGTTAATTTTCTGAGAGCCAAGAGGAAGCAAGTATGCACTGTTGGCATTGCTGAATCAGGAAAGGTAGGTGAGAGTCTACCTTTATTCCTTGACCATTTGAGTATATACCATCACTCATTTTGTGATTTCATCCCTATTTATTTGATTTCAAGGAGGACTCATGCATCTCACAAGGCAGGAAGGTGGAGTTGAGTGAGGAGGTGACAGTGAAGGAATTTCCCAAAGATGAACTCCCCATTGACCTAAATGAGGCTTCTAGTCGTTGGATTGGCATGAGTAAGATTGAGACCCAGAAGCTAGCATGGATGACAGAGCTGCCACTACCAAAACCAATTGACTCAAGTATGGGATATGTTGCTAGGTTCAACTTTGAAGGTAGTTCTTTTTTGAAGTGTCTTTACTATGGAATTATTCTTAGCCTTTGAATCTAATCTTTTCATATCTTAAATCTTTGTCTGTTAGGGGACTTGCTTCCTTATGCCACCAATGTACCTGTAACTCAGGGTCTTCACCACCATGGTGAAGAACCAGAAAGAGCTGGATACAGTCTTGAAGAATTGTTCACCTTCATTCGCTCCACTACTTTGCAGCAGAGAGTTCTGGGGCTAAAGATGATTGGCAATATCATGAAAAAGGTATGAACTTCAGTTTTGGATTTCAATAGGTCCAAATGTACAGTCAACAAATGTTACTTTAGAGTTTTCCATCTTGTGAGTATAGAAATATATTCATGGTCACCAGTGTAGTAAGTAGATTCTTGCCTTAGCATAGCATTATCCTGAAGCCTGTATGGGCCTCTTTTTTGCTTTGTTATATGTCTACCAAAGGTTTCCTCCATTGTGCTAGTAGCACTAAAAGTTCCAGTCTCAACTGGAGTTTTCAATATTTGATCCTGCTATTTTTGTCAGCAGTTTTCGTTAGTTGCTGTGAGATGCAAATATGGCTGCAGCCTCCTTGCAACCAGAGTTGGCTGTGTGCTGCCTTTTCCAGAATTAAATCCAAGGGCCTAATTAAAGTAAAAGTCTTAAAAAAAATAAATGGAATCAGGGTGTACCTTTGAAACGATCTTATAAAGTGTTCACTGCAAACCTCCTATACAAAGAGGTTGAACAAATTGAAAATCATGCAGAAATGCAGTATAAGACTTAGGACCTTTGGTCATTTCCTAAATGTATTCAGCTCTGCTTATTAATCAGAGAGACAGCTGATGTCTTTAACCCTTTGCTAGGGTATTTTTTGGACCTGGTGCCTGGGGATCAAAGTTTGAAAACAAGTATACTTAGGCATGATGGTCAAAGGGTTAACTATCCCCATTCAGTGGTCCAAGTTGAAGTCTACCATCTTAGCATTCTGTGTGTACATGAGGTTTTCAACTATTACGTGGCAATTAGAGCCTGATTTATGTTGTGCCTAGGCCAGAACCTTTCAGTGGGAGAAGAACCAGAGCCTCCAGTTATCATGAGAATAATCTGTCTAAACAGAACATGCATTGTTTTCGAAATCCAACCTAGAAATCGTCACAGATTTTTTAAACGAGCTATTTAGAAGCTGATAAGTAGGACAGGACTCCATGGGGCAATCAATCTGCCTAACCTGATAGAACTTAGTAACATAAGCCCTTGGTATAGGTATGTTATGATATAACACTGATGCACATTATATGATTCAAAGACAAAATTAGCTTCTAGCTGCCCTATCCTTAGGCCCACCATAAAAGAGAAGAATGGTCATAGTAATAGGCCTACATTAGGTCTTAGGTTAGTTAATAGTTTGCATTTTATACCCATGGTTTTCCTATGCCTCCCAGGAAGAGTATTGATTCCATTTTTCATTGTTTATTTTAGATTGTTTAGATGGCTTCATTTGTTTTTTATTAGAGCTGTGGTGATTATCCTGTTATTGTTTTATATTTTTTCTATCTGCATATCTTGATATTGCTTTTCAACTTCATCTTGCCCATTATTGTTCATTTTGCATACAAGGCTGACAGAAACAAGTAGCTTAAGCAATGTGTGAAAGTTACTCATGGAATCTCTCATCACCATATGCCCTTCACCTGAATTACAAGACCTGTATAGGAGAGTCTTAACCCTTTTAAGCATGGTTTTTTGGCAAAAAAATCTGGTAGATTCTACCCACATCCTAGAACACAGAAGTTGAATACATTTTTCCCCCTCATATTTGTGAACAGTAGGCTTGAAAATGTTATTGTTGCTCATTTGCTACTAACAGCATTTTCAGCTTTTCTAACCCACACTGCAGGAATGCTAGAGAGCTCAATCAGTTTGTCAACTTTTCTAAATACCTCAGCGCAAAAGAATATGTAAAAATATGCCTGAGTCTGAATGCTGGATAATCAATTAATTGAAGGTAATTGCATTAAAAACATCAATCTGTCACATGACAAAGCCAGTTGTTTTTTATTTGCCTGGCACCAGGAGTGTATGGCACCTGTTTACCCCATGGTTGCTAGGTATAAAGACTGGACTGTTGCACATCTGCTAAGAACTGATTTACCTCAGAAGCTCACTACCTATGCATTCTAAAAATGTTTATTTGGTATGTAGCATATCTGCTACATCATGCACTAAAGGGTTAATGTAGAAAAACCTATATGGGGAAGGTTTTGGAGCCATGAAACCTATGAAGTTCAGGGGGGGATAGCAAACACCTTCTGTAACACTCTGGAGCCAAATGTGTGGCTTGCATAAGAGAGGAGAAATGAGTAGGTATGGCCTTGATGACATCAGCCTGTGATTCCCCTGAGAAACTTGTACCCTGCATTTTTCTTGGAAAGCAAAATGGAAAATTCAATTAGGAGCTTTCAGAGTCATGATATAGGCAGGAAAAACAAAATCTATGTCCTTTTCCCTGTCTGGACTCAATAACAGTATGATTTTGATCTATACCTTGAGGCTCTTCCTGTTGTATTTCTGAATTTTGCTTGAAGGATTGACAATAATGTGATATTATGTAAAGAGGATCAGCTATATTGATCACTGTGAAACCCATATTACACTCAGTAAGATTTCATTTACCTAACTCTGGCCTTACATTGGTCTGATAGAAGTTCATCATCCTTTTCTTACAGTACAAGGAAGGAGCATATGATGGTTGCTTCCAAGAAAATCTCCTCAAGCAAGTCCTGGATTCAGGGCTACTCTTCCTACTTCGAGTGCTCCTGGATGATAACACCTCAGCTGTGATGGCTGCTTGTGTTCATGCTCTTTATCATCTGATTGCTTCTGATCCTGATGAAGTAAGAGAATTAGCACTGCATTTGTCATAATTAGAAAATTTTAAACTCGTATATACAAGTTTAGTTGTTCTTTAACTCCTAACTTTATTCAGAAAAAAAGGTTGTCAAAATAGGCAATGCTATCAGTCAGGTGTGATAAGAAAAGCTCATTATGGAATTAACATTTTTTTATAGTTGGTATTTTGATTAACCCTTTAGTGCATGATTTTTTTTTTGGCAAAAAAAATCTGGTAGATTTTACTCACATTAAGAACACAGTTCAAGTGGGAAAAAATTTTGTTCCTGAAATTTGTAAGCAGTAGGCCCAAAAATGTTATTGTTGCTCATTTGCTACTAACATTTTCAACTTTCTGACCCATGCTGCATGGATGCTAGAGAGCTTAGTTGGTTGTCAACATTTGTACATACCTCAACACTAAAGAAAATGTAAAAATACAGACTAGCTTGGACCCTGGATTAACATAAAGTTTAAGAAAATTAAATCAAAAACGTCAATCTGCCATACGATGAAGCCAGGTTGGTTTAATTTGATTGCCACCAAGAGTGCATGGCACCTAGCAACCACATAGTTGCTAGGTATAAGGACCAGACTGTTGCACATCTGCTAAGAACATATTTATTTCAGGAGCTCGCTACCTGCACATGTTTATTTGGCATGTAGCATATATGCTATGTCATGCATTAAGGGGTTAAATAAATACTGTTATATCAAGTGAAGGATGAGAATGTAATTATTTTGCACTTGAAAATGAAAGTTTTGAGTGAGCTTGATCTTTATTTCAGTTATGCATGGATCAGATGCTTGGTACAGTTTGGGGATTAGAACAGCCATCATTATTGTCGGAGCTGGATCTGGATCAGTCAAAAAGGAAGGAATTTATTAAGGAAGAAAGAGGCTTAAAGGATGCAGAACTCCTACAACTGGATGCCATCCGTGCCCTTATACGAATGGATATTCTTCCCAGAGTCAGGTAACTCTGGCTGTTGTAGAGATCTTCATGTTGAATTTGATCTGAGTTATTGAGGATTATTTACTTCTTTCCCAAGGTACATGCTAGATGTATGCCAACCTGCTGCCAAAACAGTTGTTCAACTCCTAGGACTTTTGATACGAATGGTGAGACATTCCGATGAAGCTACAACTGCTATCATGGATTGTCCCTACTTGATGGAAACCATTTTTCAGAATTTTCTACCATTGGACCCTTCCACTCTCTGTGAGAAATGACAGGCCTGTTTTACCCTGAAATGAAATCCTTGAAAGTAACAAAGGTTAATTGCCACTCATACACCTCTCAGTTTCAGGAACAAATATGTCACAGCTAGCAACTGCATATGGGATCCCAATGAGAGATGCCTTGAAGCTTGTGAGGTTGATTGCAAGTCGCGGCAGGGGAATTTGTTGTTCCCTTCTGTCACGTCATAATCTCATGCAGCATCTTCTGGCATACATGTCTTTTGATCCCAGGTTGGTTACTAACTCTGAAACTCCTTGACCTGTCAGGACTATTTACTTGATTAGAGAATGTTATGAGCCTTGAAGGGTCTGCAAAAATTGATTTTCTCAGGTATATGGCAGGTCTTAACATCTTGCATATTTTCAGCTGATTTATTGTTTGCAATGAGCAACTAACTCATTTTGATTACATACCATGATGTTCTTGTATGGCTTTTTACTGGTTTTTCCTGATTAGTAAGGCATGCATTCACAACTGATATAGGAATAACAGGCTGCATATGCAAGAATATATCACCTAGTGATACTCTGCAGTGTTACTAGGCAGGAGAGGCAAAACTTTTAATGAAAAGACTACTTAGTACCAGTACCAGTATGATGCCCCTGAACCATTAGGCCATTGGAGCAGAAAAGCCAATAAGGTTTTTCTTAGGGTGACATGCACAGAATCTGTTTAGGCTAAACTAATTCTCTCACAATGGTCCCCTATGGGAATCAGTTTAACAGGGATAAACTTATTTCCATAGATGCTCCTTATGAAAATGAATCAGTTTAAAGTTCAATGGATATGGTGCATCTTTAATGTTTTCATCATATCAATGTTATATTGCATTAGTGCTTTGTCATTTAGATGTTTTGGTGGTGACAATCTAACATGCTATTCCTTTTGACTCTTAAGTCCAGCAAGGAATAGCCGAGAATTATAAGAATTATATTCTTTTAAACCAGTGAAGTTGGAGTTCCTCTTGGTGACTCAATTCATCTGAGCTTGGAGAGCTATGAGACCTGGAGATTGTTAATGGCATACAGAATTCATACCAGGAGTTTCTTGTGAGTGATTTTTTCTTTCATTTATATGACTGGATGAAAACCAGCATGTTTGAATGTGTGGATTCAGTGTCAATGAATGAGTGGTTTTTTTGTTGGAAGTAGAAAACTTTGTGAATCTGAATCAGTGGGAATTGGTGAATCCAATGCTGATGAATGGGGGGATATTTTAATTCCTGAGTAAAAGTTGATGTCTGAATAATTTCGGATTCTGATAAATCTGGAATGGATGGAATCTGGAATGCATGAAATTTAGCATATTTGAGTAACTGAATCTGATTAGATGTTTTTGATGACAAGTTTGCCTTTCCAGGGACTTTTATCCATTATTAATGAGGCAGCTACACTACTATGAAGCCAAAGTTTCACTGAATGAGAAGGTGAAAGAAAATCAGTTCAACTTTTGTCATGGAGCAGAGATCTTCAACATTTTGAATGTTGCTGTTAAGATAGCTCAAGATCAAGATGAACAGTAAGTCACCAAGTTATATTTGAATCTAAGTAGCTTTTCTCTCTTCAAACCTCCAAGTCTCCTTTTGTCACCTGTAGGACAGATGAGCCATCACTCAGATGGGAACATGTGAAGGGGCTCAGAGAAATGATCATTCCATGTCTCAAAAAATGGATTGTTCATCTTACAGTTGCAGACTCTCTTGTTCCTTTAACTGTAAGTCCATCTGTCTTTCCATTTGGCATATGTGATGATGGGTGTCACTGCAAAATGTACTGAGAGCTATGTTTTCTTAAATATACCTTTACAGTTCTCCAGATTGAAACTTGTGTCTTCATGCCTCTCACTTGCTGGAAATTTCCTCAAGGAGGGACACAGACAGGTAGAAAACTCATTACTCACATTGCCCAGCAAGTGGATCCTTGCTGTTATTTATGGTGATTTGTGCACACATCCCTTTCATTCTCAGGGTGAGGAAGTGATACAGGAGATTGAAAAACTGACTAGCCATTATTTTGATCCTTTCCTGAAGAGCAGTACTTGTGAGAGACTAATGCAGGCACTTCTGTAAGTGAATGTTCTGGCAGTCATCAAGGTTCAGTGACTTTTTTGCTTTTGCTAGGCCACCCACTTAGTGCAAGTGCCTTGCATCTTGTGTATTCCTTACAGGGACACCTCAGTGGTTCTCAGTGAGTTACAACCTGGGACTTGTCGAGATGCACCAAATCTCCCATCACTTGGAAGTGTGACTTTCTATCAAGCAGTGACCCCTATTATGCAAGAAGAAGCTCCATTTCTGTTTTGGTCCACATTTACAGGATTTCTACTTCACCTTTGGCAGTTTCAGGCATCACAACTGTCAGTTGTACAGGTGAGTAGGGAGAAGTCATGGAAGATGCTAGAGCAGAAAGGATTTGACTGAAATTTATTTAAAAATTAAGGTAATTGCAATTGCTGATTTGTAGAGTTTTTCCTTTTGAAAGGTGACAAAGGGGTTCTTTGGTCATCCTGGGTTGAAGAGGTACCTGACAGCAGTTGCTCATCATGAGCCCTTATTGAAGGACCATTGGTTTGCACGTTTGGAATTCCACTTCTTATCTCAAGTTCTCCTTCTTGACTCAATTTATGATAAGGTAGCCAGTAGATCTTCAGCTGCCTTAAGAAGAATTGTGTCCACCATAGTTGATTATACTGGTACTTATTTTTATTTCAGGGTTTCCTCAAAAGGAGTTTGGTGCTCAACCTGGGCCTGAAACTAGCTAACTGGTTCCAAGTTGGGGATGAGTATCTCCTATCCGAAGTATTGACATCTGTTGTCTTCAATCCATTTTATATCATGTGAGTTATTGTATGATGTTCTACCATTTTCACCAGGAACATGGCAGTGAAATTCATAATTATGAAGACATTGAACTGTGCAAGTGGACAAGAGCTCATGCTAGTAGTGGTGTGGAGGACACACTCTATTACTCTGCTTGCATATTATCCTGAACACTAAACTTTCCTTCCTTGGAAAATCCTTTTTTTTTTTAAACCCTTTTTGCTGGGAAATTTTTCTTATGTTCAGCCTTCTCAGAGCATGTGAAGGGTCAAACATTTTCTGGGAAGTATACTTCCCACTGCTCACAAAAAGGTTAAGCTGGTCCTCTCTTGCGGATGGTTTGGATAAATCATATTTTACTCAATGATAGATTTGTTGGAGAACAAAGCAGGAGGATTAGACACTAACAAAAGATTGGAATCCCTTGTCCATATTCAGTTTCTGATTTCTTTTGAATAATTGCTGATTGCCTTGCTTTACATGAAGTTATGGACACCTTTTGGAAATATATTAGTTCTCTGCACAGTACTGCTCTTGTGAAATTTGTGAAAGTAACTCTTAATAGGAGCAGAGATATAAAGGTTAAAAGTTGTTGTTTTTTTTTAGCCATATCCTTGTATGCATGCATTGTCTTGCATTGCCTATTGAAACACAAGAGAATGAAAGAAATTCATCTATACTTCATAATCATTCCAGATTTCTTACTGTTCACTATGTCCCTTTCATTTTCTTTTAAAGCTCAAACCTGGAGACCAATCCATGCCAATAGTAAATTTGGCATGGATCCTTTGAAAATGAATTCATAAACCCGTCTTGAATGATATTGAGCCTTAATGGCATGTTTCTGAGATTGGCCCTTTCTTTTTCGTTCAGGTCTGAAAATGAAGTTCATCCTGTAAATGAGCTTGTCAACCGTTTCCATAACCGGTCGGTGAAAATTTCAATTTTTATATACTGCTTCTTTTTATTGTTACGTCTCTTTTAGTTTTATTGTATTGCTGTCCTTCATATTTGCGATATAGGCTGCCTATGATCAGAGAAACAATGATGAAGTCACTTCTGTCAGATTCAAGCATCAAGTTGTCCAAGTCCCGCAAAGACATAAGATCCCCTAAAGTGGAAACATATACAGTTCAGGGCTGTGGAAGTTCTGTTCTCCCTCGTGACTGGATGTTCCTGCCACTGATGAAACTTTACTCTGATGCTATGGAGATGTATGAAAATCAAAATCCATGCTGACTTTCCCTTTTACCTTATTCATGCATCATTTAACCATTCTTTTTATAGGAAAAAAGCTAACCGCAGTGTGCAGTCAAATGAATCCACAGTTGAGCAAGTGAAGTCAGTTCTGCAATGGATTTATCTTCTTGAAGAATCTCAGTCCAAGTTCATGCATTCTTTGGATGTTCAGATAAGGATAACCCGACTTACTTGTGTGTTTTTGGCTGGTGAGCTCATACTATTATCTCTGATAGGGTAGGCATTCACGATTTCAGTTTTGGCTTTGGCATCCCCTGCCTCTGGTTTTAACAATCATCGTGTCATCCAGCTGATGATCTCTTCTTGGATGTGGGCATTCAGGAGTTTCTTGAAAAGTGCTTCACAAAAGTTCTGAGAGAAGAAGTAGACTTCTCCATACCTGTTCCTGGGCTTTCTTCTTTCTATGACTTGTAAGACACTTGACAACTTACTTGGAAGGGGTACATAGAGAAGATTCCTAAACTGCCTGATATACAATGTTTAAATCCAGCTATGTGCAGTTGGTAGAGCAGTTTGAAGGGGTATCATATGGGAACCCTTTGTTTGGGAGTGTGATCCTCTTGCCACTGATGCAAAATCAGGATATCAGCTTCAGGAAACTTCTATGGGCTGAACATGATGATGCCCTGGCACTCATTACCACGTCGCTAGATAAGGTGATTTTGAAGTGTCAAGTGGTATGGTCCTTTTACCATTGGCTGTTTCCTAAGTGCATTATTTTGTCATTTGCAGCTGCTGGTTTCTATCCAGAAGTTCCTTCATCCAGTTGAGACAGATGAGTCATTGTTATCATGCTATGCAAAAGCTATTTTTTCTAGTGAGCAAGTCTTTTTGTGTCATATTTGCATGTTGACTTCTCCCTCCAAAAAATGATTACATTTTTTAATTTAGGGAAGGTGGTGTTGGAGAAAAATCCAGTTATGTATGTCATTGCTTGTCATCACCTTCACTACTTTCTTGTCTCTGAGAGCAAACAATCTACTTTGAGAATTCAGCTTAAGAAGCAATTGCTCAGCCTCAAGAATGAGGCAAGTCTCTTTTAAAGTTTCTATGAACCACAATTTAATTTTTTGTCACTGATTGGTCTTGGTGGTTTTTGTTTTCAGGCCTTGAACCTTTCTCTGCTGCAGGGAAAGCTTCCCTTGGAACAGAGTTGATTCGCTTTCTGTGATTTTTAGTGAAGATATTTTTTACTATTGGAATTGCTACACATCTTTTGGTATGAATCAGTATGGTCCAAGCAGTGAGAAAGCCACTTATCTCACTGTAGCTACATTCAGTGGCTCTATTTTGGGCTGATGTATGCTTCAGTAAAGCAATGATCAGTGGAATATAGATGAAGACTTTTCGTATAATGGTATATGGCCTGTATTACACCATTTCAAAGAAAAGTGGAATGCTCTTCTTGTCATCCTGAGTGGTTTTAGTCCTTTGTTTTCCTTTTCATTTCTCAGTTTTCTATGCCACAAGTGCAGTGCATAGAAAACTGAGAAACGGAAAACCCTTTCTTTAAAGCTTTCCTCATTTTTAATATACAATTCATGACAGATGGATCCTTCCTACTGTTTATCAATTGCTTACAAATTTTTTGGAATGATGTATTTCCCTTTTCTATGGGCCCAAACACTTAAAAATTGACTATTACTTGCTCATCAGAGAATATCTTTGGGGAAGAGTGATGTGGAAGTGGTGAAGTTGTGAAGAAGATAAGAAGAGCAAATATGAGTGATGATATGTTGCTAGAAGTTGAAGCAAAGGATGAGGAGGATGAAGATGAAGAAGATGAAGAGATGACTAGTGCAGGAACTAGTGCTGATATTTCCATTGCACAAGGGGGAATGTCTGACAACATTTCCCCTTTGACTGTTGGAGGATATGGCCTTGAAGAGTAAGTCCTTGCCTTAACAGCATCTACTCTCTCAAGTGATTCTGTGAAAATTGTTTATATGTTCATGTTGACTGGTGGCAAACCATGGTTTGATGTGAGATGGTTTTCATGTTTCAGAGGCATGTTGTTCCAGTACATGGACATTCAGGAGCCACTAACCACTCTACAGAGTTTGTTGGAACATCGTTTTGGATTGAGTCTATCGGGCTCTGAGTTTTGGCTTCAAGATTCTCAGAAGGTGAATATAGTCATTCTCCAGTGTGTAGTATGCATTATTATTTTGAAAACTTTTACATTTAGCATGAGGCTATTATGGCTTCACTCTATTGTCTTTAGCTTCATATGAAAAGTTGTCCCCCCAGATTTAACTAATCAACCTCTAATGGCAATTCTGTCCTAGAATGCTGTTGACTAAAAGAGACTTAGGATTTTCAATTGCATCTTACCAGATTGGCACTGTCATGCCAAGAAAGTTTAATGATGGTTGATGATAATTAGATGCATTTTTAGAGTTTGTTCATATTTTGTTTCTGCTTTTGTGATGGATGATGTGGCTGTGGTGCTCACCTTTGATGAGGAAAACACATATTTCATAGTGTTAAGGTTACAAAGTGGATTAGTCAGTTGGCTTAGGATGCATGATAGTATTGGGTATGGTTTTTGAAACCATCCATTTATGATATGTTTTGGAAATTGTTAATAACTGTTCAATTGTTTTTCCTGTATCACCCTTTGCTATTTTACCACAGGTATATGATGTGTGCATGATTGGGATATTGGGATTCTGTTGTTCTTCAGAAATGTGAAAATGATTCTCTGGTTATGAAATGTTTGCTTTCCATTTTTTCTCACAGCTTGACCCACATTCCACCCTGGTTGAACAATGTGTTCAAGGGAAGGGCATAGTTCAAGTCAATGTGAAAATCTGCTTTGAGGGTGGAGTCAAGAAGATCAATATATTGGATGTCCTCAAGCCAGCTGATGAAGGACGTGAGTTTTGAAACCCTCTCAATGCTCTGCATGAGATTACAGCTGAGAAGTCCACTGAAATTGGATTTTGCATCTCATAATTTACAGGATGACCTAAAGTCACTTAACCTCTTCAGGGATATTGGCACAAACGTGGATGTTTGATTCAATGTATTTTAAATTGGTCAAAAACTGATCCCCAACAGCTCAGATGCCACAGCTGCTGTCAATTTGTTAGGAGTTTTCATTGCAGTTTGTATCACTGTTCCTTTAGCTTGCAAAGTACTCTACACCTGTAATTTTTTAAAATATTTTTTCTGTCAAAAAATAATCCCTGAAGAGGTTAATTGGTACTTAACACTTAAGCATGAAAATTATGTATGGTATTTCAGTGAAACTTGTGGGATAGTAACACAAACTGGAGGGGAAATTTTTCATTTAATTATGTTGACATCAGCATAGAAGAACTCCTGTTGAACAAAAGTCTTAAAGATCCTGGATTGATTTCCCGTCTAATGATAATGATCTTACTGAAATTCCACCATGTACTACTAATGACCACTCTCATAACAAAATCCCAGCTGTAACCATAACAGAACTGCTATCTTGAATCATTTTCTGCCTCTCAGTCAAGTGAATTTGATTGACATCCCTCAATTCTTACTTAGCCCCCTTATTAGCAAGGAACCGATGTGATCCAAAAGCATTTTTTAACTTATGCATTTGGTTTTTCTTATCCCTTTTTCATGTGTAGGATTCATATGCAGTGTGTCCAATAATAATGTATGTTCCGTTATTTATATTACAGAATGGGTACATAATTATTGGATACACTTTATAAGGTCATTTGGTGTAAGTGTGGTCAGTCCTTATTTTTGGTTCTTACAAGTGCAATATGCCATCAGCAAAGTACACGTTGAGAAGTATTGTTAATTAAAATGTTAATCCAGTCAAATGTCATTGCTTCAAGTGAAATACTTCGCAGGGTATTCAAGTGCAATTTAGTTCTTAATTATTTGTACTTTCAGTTTTCACAGAATGATCTATATCGCTGAGTAAAATTCCAATTTTGGTATTTTAAAGTAAATTCCATGGTATTTCAGACTTGTTCTTTTCAGAGTTCCTTTCTTGCTGAACTTGAGCATTGCAAAGCTGACCAACCACTCTTACCCCATATGGTGTGATCCTTAGTGTGATCATTCCTCATGTAACCTGTCCAATTTTGATGTCTTGTTCACTTGTAGACTGTAGGGCTTCACTCAATGTTTTTGAAGCTAAAGCCAGGCTTTCTTAGTTGAAGTTCCAGTCTTTTACTCTTTGTGTACTAATCTTTACCTAATTGAAACAATGGTCTTTTGCCTACTTGAATATAAATAGGAATAGGCCAAAGAATTATGTTACTTCTGAGCTGTTGTTGATACTTTGCATGTATTCAGTGTGAAATGAGGGATGGTCTTGACATATTCTACACTTCCATTGGTTTGATATGCCTATTCCAGCCAGTGAAAGGCTAGCTGAATATTTTCCTTGTTCCCATCTATGACAATATGCCCACTGGCTGTAAGGAGATTGGAGGGCAAATGTAGTAGCTATAAGAAATGCAAGAGATCTATCATATCCTTGATTTGTGTCAAGTTTCGTCAACAGAAGAAAATTTAAAAGTATATTGTTTGCTCCATAGCTACCCTAGAACTTCATAGTGTTGCCCAGATTTGCATCTGTATGCTACTGTGAAGCTCAATTTTCGTTAAAATTTCCTAGTATCCAATTTCAGACTTACTGAGTTTTAAAACATGTCACAGGTGTAGTAAACTTGACATGATTTGAGTTTGGAAACAATACGTATTTGTCTGTTATTGCTTATTAAACTAGTTTATCATTTAAACTATTATTTAGAACTGTTGTCAATCCTCCTCTGTCCCAACATCCAACCATCTCCACTCACAGTCTCTGGACATTGTCTTCAATTATTCCCCTCATTATCTTCTGCAAGTCTTGTATTATTTTGCTTGTACCATCTATGATTGTACTTTAAAAAGTTCTCACTCCTGGGTTTTGCCTGTGTTGCCATGAAATTTGGAACATGATCATGACTTTCAGGATTTTGAATTTTTTGCATTTGATATGAAAATTTCAGCAAGTGAAGAGTATGAGTTGCAGAAGGATGAAGAAGACCCTGATGATGATGCTGTCACAAGATGGGTTTTGGATCCCAATTTTGTCCTGCACATGGAGCAGCAAAAAATGCCCCAAGGTATGCTTTCCCAAATTCTCCCTGTCCACCTCCTTTTATCATGGTGTTTGATGTGCTCTCTTTGATTCTGATGATAGATCCTGAATTCTGGAAGCCTAATGATGTTGTATTCTGGCTTCGCTGGGCCATAAAGAAATTCCGTCTCCAGGGTGTAAAGCCCTCTGATTGGCGTATGAGTGGAAAAGAACTTTTGTCCTTGTCTCGAGAGGAGTTCATGTCTCGAATCCCTCATGATCCAGGGCACTATTTCTGGACACACTTCGAGCTCCTCAAGCGATTCCGTATCATTGGTGAGTTCTCTCTTAGTCATTACTTATAGCCACTCTATCTCTTAGTGGGAGAGTGCAGGTTGTATGGCAGTCATTGTTGACATTCTTGCCAGCTGTGGTTGAGGGCGGAGCTGGACATGAGGTGGAGTTGGTCAGTATGGAATCACCATTCTCACTACATAGGAGACGACAGGACAAGACCAAGAAGATATCTTATCCTTTGATACAACTGGAGGATTTGACTGATTCTCCTTCTGCCAAGACTTGCGCAGGTCTTTCTATCTCATATTTGGTCTAAAGTTTTTCTGGGAACTTTTCCTAAATGCTTTGTATATGTGACAGGTAGCACCCAATTGTGGCAGTTTCTTCTGGAGCTACTAACTGATCACACAATGAGAAGTGTGATCCAGTGGGTTGGAGAAGAAGGGGAATTTAAACTCCATCATCCAGACTTAGTTGCTCAACTTTGGGGGAGACGGAAAAACAAGCCAAAAATGAACTACGAAAAGCTCAGCCGTGCGCTTAGGTACTACTATGATGGAGACATGATCTCAAAGGTAAGTTATGCTTGTTAATGGAGTTGTGACATTTTCCTTCCAATTTATCCACAAGTTGCCAACTAGTCAATGACCAATGGCATTGTTACAGGTGCATGGGAAGCGGTTTGTCTATCGATTTGTGTGTGACTTACGTCAACTGATTGGCTACAGTGCAGCTGAACTCAATCGCCTTGTGACTGAATGTGCATTGAAGAAACAGTCTAATGTGAAGAAAAATGTGGACGGGTCATGAATTCATGAATTCTCTGTTGTGTTTCCCTTTTCAAAACAGCAATTGGTATGAAATTCTGGGTGGAATACAGGCATGTGGGTGAACTCCCCATTCTGGACTACACAATTCTGTCTAACCCTTTCATCCCATTTGAAACATGCCAATAAATCCAGTTTTTTATGAATTCATGAATACTGCCCCCCAAAGATTTATTTGAGACACTTTCACTGATGCATAGAATTCATCCAGATGTAGTCATGAAGTAGTAGCTCCTGCATTTAGCAGTGACCAGGAAATTATTTGTAACTAATGTATGTTACATACTTCTTTTGTTGTCATCATATAGTTTTGCATTGAGTATTCCCAAATAACAGAATTAGTAAAACTAAACCTATTAGCTTGACATTCCTTTATCCATTATGCCGTCAGACCCAGAAATATGTTTCCTTCCACACTTGCTTTCTTTCTGTACTGCTCCCATCATTAACGGTGTATTATGGGTGCTGCATCGTTTTTCAAAAGTTGAAAAGGCTTTTGCTAGCGTATGTACTAATATGTTTTACATTCGAGGGAGGATCAAAAAGTTTCTGCTCTGAGGTAGAAAGGATGACAGGAGGCTGAAAGTTGATACCCATATACCTTCATCCTGTTAATTTGAATTGTCAGCAATTATTTTTAACCGCATTTATAGATGTACAGGGTCCGGCAGAAGTAATGGGACATAGGAAATGTGTACTGTAGTGTTTACATGATGCTTATATGTGACGAGCCACGGGAACGATATATCGTCAGTCAAGCCTATGGATCGGCCCCTGACATTAAAAGGGCTAGTCATTACTTGCCAAGCAAGTTGTCTTGTGTTTTGGACACAGTTGAAAAGCGACTGCCAATTAGTTGACGTAGAAGACCATGCGTTATTTAGGGCAAGAGCGAGTGGAGGTAGTGTTTACGCGCAAGAAGGAAACAGTTAAAGGCGAACTAGTACAATTTTCCACGAAAAGCGGCCAAAATCGTCGAAAAATTGCACTTTGAATCTAATTGTGGCATTTAAAAAGACCGGCAGTGTTCTTGATGAAAAAAGTAGTGGTCGTCCCAAAACAGCAACAGCAGACGATAACCGAATAGCAATTCTAGCCCATGTCACTGCTAATCTGCAACAAGCGCAAGTGATGGCAAGTGCTGCCGTAATTAGAGAGAGGTCGGTGTGAAGAATTTTTAAGTCCCACAAATTTCATCCTTACAAGTTCCATATCGTACAGGAACTAAGCGAAGGCGAATTTGATTACAGAATGGAATTCTGTGAAGCATTCGCCCAGAAAATCACATAACCCGAAGTTGCTGTAATCTGTTTCAGTGCTGAAGCCACTTCCTTTCTGAACGCTAAGGTAAACAGACACAATTGCAGGTACTGGAGCCAAGAAATTAGAAAACCCGCTATTATTCCGCCTCCTCTATAAAGCCTCAAAAGTTTCGCGTTGGAACAGCCTATCGTGAAATAAATCACTTTCAATCTGCGCTCAGATTCCTCTCCTGGAGAAATACGAAGATAGTCTGGGAGAAAGAAAGAATCACGAAAGAAAAACTAGAATAATGTCTGAAACCAAATCGCTGAAGTTTGGCCTGGGCTCTGGCTTGGTTCTCCAGCTTGCATCGAGGGCATGGAACGCCCATTGAACGCAGAACTTCCGCAAATGAGAGATGCATGCCCCCCTGTTGCCTCCGTCCGCAAATGGGAGATGTCTGCGAACAAGTCATTCGCTAACTAGCACAGACTCGGAATCCTGTTCCAGATCGCGAACCCTCTCTCAAATGCAATTATCTGTCCTATGCAGCTGGGAAATTCTCAAATCTCAAACATTTAGGGGTAATACAACAATGAGGAACGAAAATGTCACTATAGGGTGGCAGGGTGGAGGAGGTAATGGCCTCAGCTGCAACACAAAAATTCCTGCCTTTCCGTGGAAGACGACAGATATGCATTCCTTTGATAATCATTCCATGTCGAGCTTGTGGAAAATGTAGAAAAGGGCTTGACCAGCGAATTGGTGCTAGGGATGAGGTGTGACATCAAAGAAACATGGTGTCAGCTCGCATCCTATGATTCGTCGTTCACTGTCTGCCGCCTGTTCGCGAACTGGTGCCGCTCCACTATATCATTTTCAATACTTATACCGTCGACTTTTATCACTGCATGCTGTCACTCTTCAGATATTGAATAAGACATTCCTTTAGTAGCAGCCTCGTGAAAGTTACTCATCGACTGACTCGCGTAATTGTATTTCAGGTAACTCGCGCAATATAAGTGCGCGAGTTGACCTCGACAATGCATTTGTTATCTTTGATCAAACCAATATTTGAGTTCTCTTTTGCAATGTGGCATCCATCTGAGCAGATGGACATAAAAGCAACGAGAGGGAACGAGTTAGAATAAAGCGTATGAGAGAATGAGAGCAGGTTGGAATAGTAATACTGACTGAGGTTCACCTGTGAGGAAAAGTTCTCGATTTCGATTCAATAGAGCTTCTTGAGAAGCTCTATTGAATCGAAATCGAGAGCTTCTTTGGGACTTCCAAATTATAATGAGACTAGTACAATGAACTGGAGAGTCGATTTCGCTCTCCAAGATCTATGTATTCCACAAATGAGGCATACTTAAAGTTACGTCTGCTTCAGGCAGCATTATATTGGGACGGAATTTTCTCTCAGAATAATTCCTTCAGTAGGTTGGCGAAATGTTCAGAGATTTAACTGGGACACGGTATGTGTCCCCCAGTTACATCTCTGTCCCAATTGGCAGCCAAGAAACATGAATCAAGTGCAAGATTGCCTGCAGACTTGATCTGGCAGGTCTGAGGTCTCCAGCATTATTTCATTGATTGGCTTAATCGTATTTGGACTCGAGCATAACATCGCCAGGTATTCACTTTGCGGATCTAGGAACCATAATCCTTGTCTACGATTCGTGAAGGTTCGATGCCTCTCCCTTCACTGAAAGATACTCTTCTCTAGTATGTAAGTGGGTTGGCCCAAGGGTGGCCCAAGAAGGCGCAGTTGAGCTCTTCTTCACTATTGGAATTTCCTTTTTTGTCAGGAGAAGAGGAATCGCCGTCCTTCTGCGAGAGAATCAATTGAACACTTATTTCTCCAGAGTGTTCAGTTATGTGGCCAGAACGAAGGCCGTGGGTTGTTTGATAAAAGCCTCAGAGGGTGAAGGTTCATCTTGAGTGAGCAGAAAGCGATAAGATAAGCTCATTTCTGTGATAGAATGAGTGGCCGGATGTACCCAAGCAACACGTAACGTCGCATGGACGTCATATAGATGTATGTCTTGCTTGGGTAACGTCTCACAACATATAAGAGGAGAAAATTCAGGTTTTCTGCGTTGTTTCTGACGTCAGCTGGAAACAGTCGATATAGGGAGCATGAGTTCGGGTTCTTGTGCTTGGGTTCCTCGTCATTGTATACAGGGGAGAACACGGAGATTTCACATCTCTCCAAAAGAAGTGAAAGCAAGAATGCGCATCACGTAATTCCTGCGATTCGGTGGTCAAGGTTCATGGAATGGGATCATTTACCTGCTTTATCAGAAGACACTAAATCCTGTTTTCCCCTTTTAAAACAGAAACTTCGATTACATTCCAGTCCACAAAGTGAGTGTTCTGATTGATTTAATCGGCGTTTGCCCCGGACCGGTCCGTGATTGGGGGTCGAGAGCAGCTTCAAGCATGGATTCGGACTTAGAGGACCGTAGAGAGAAAAGAAGACTCGCAAATCATGTAAAACAGCAGAAATCATGTGACTCCCGTGGGATTGAGTGGGTCGACTAGCTCGAGAGTGGACATGACAGAGGAAAAAATTTCTGAAAACGGGACGGGCATGGGTGAGAACGAGAAAAGTTTCCAGGACCGAGACGAGTACTTATTCTGTCGCCTTCTTATCTCTCCCCTGCAGTCCGGTCATCATAGAAGGCCGAGGAATCGTGAATAGTTGCGTGAAAGGGTACGAAATGCAATGCAAAGGTAGGCGATGAGGTGGAACCTGGATGCATGGGTATGATAAGAAGTTCCCGGAACGAATTCGATTCACGTGGCTGAGAATGCGAATGGATGCCAACGACAACAAAAAATTATTCTGCTTCAGCATCCTTGGTATAGCGCTCGATCAATTTTAAGGCGTCAGACTATGTCATGCATGTCGCAGCATGCATCCCAGGAATGGTGATTCCCTAAATTCTTGAAAGATGGAATAAACGCTACGGAATTAAGTTATTAACCTTAGAGGCTATTCACATAAGAACTAATAATTTTTTCCTAGATTTCTTGTTGGTGGTAGGAGTGAAGTATTTTTTCCCCCGAAATTCCTCCCGGGTATGAAGCCAGATAAGCCTGTCGTAAGGCCTGCTTGCTATTGGATTACGTCCCTGATTTAGCGAGGTGCGACCAGAGACGTCTTTATCGATTCAGAATGAACGCGGAAAGTTGAGATGCCGGAATCGTCCCGGAAGACCTCACATTACCTCTAGAACAGGGCTTCCCAATCTTTTATCACGCTTAACCCCAAAAATCACTTTCATACTATTCACGACCCCAAGCACTGGCCGAAGTTAGACAGGCTCCCCCATCTATGCGCTAAAATCGCAAAGAAAAACGTAAGTTTGCATTTAGTTGCCACGACCCCTGGGTTGGGAAGCCCTGCTCTAGAAGATTGAGAAAGGAAGGAGGGGGGGAGGGGGGGACGAGACATGAACAGAATTCGTCCCTGGAATCTGAATGAAAAAGAGAAGCAGTCGAAAAATCCATCACTGTCAACGGATTGCCGTCTTCTTTTTCTGGAATCATCCCTGAGTTTTATATGCCGTATGAAAGGGAGTAGTTCTTGTGATTTGATGGAACGAATAAAAACGTTCTACAGTGATGAGAAGCAGTAATGAAGTAACGCTTGTTACGAATCCTCTGGTCTCCTATATCGGGCAGAAGGATCTGCGAACGGTACAAAAAAGCTACCCTTTTTTTCCCTCTCACTTGCAAAAGGCCCAGCTTTTATCTTTATGCGAAGGACAAGAATGTCGGGTGTGAACAAGTATCAGGACCGTAGATGCATACCGATGAGGACTGAGCCAGTAGCAAAACAAGCGCGCACACAAGATGGACATTCGAGATACGATAAGGGCACAGTTGAGGACTCACTTCCAGTGACCAGTGACATTTTGATTAGCATCTCGGTCTATCATATTTATTCCCCCCTTCCCCTTCGTCACCAAGTTATTGTGTCTTCTTCTCCTGCGAGAAGCTCTTGTGTTCGATCCGTCGATTCTGGTCAACTGAAAATGAAAGTAAGTCCATCCCTTTACTTTTCTGTATCGATGCTTGTTACCTGGTTCATCCAAGTATCACTTCGCGTGATATTTGGATGTTTGAAAACTGAAACACTTGCAATGCTTGGTGACCTCGGGTCTCGAGACCCAGAACGATACCAACATGTACATCAGCGTGTCGCTGGCGGGCTCTGTCGTTGACGGCGTTATACACGTTAAATGTTTGTTTGGTTGCAGGTGCTCCACTTGGTGGTGATGTTCGTGGTGATGATGCTGGCGGTTTTGGGCTCGGCGATTCCCCAAGAATCCAACCAGGACTCCCGGTCTCAAGCCTCAAGGCGATATGCTTCCCCGAGCAGATTCGAGAACATCCGAGGCGACACCAACAAACTCTACAAATACTTCGAGATCGCTAATCCTTCCATCAAGAAGTAGTATGGAGTGACGTCTGCGCTCCTACTTCTTTCTTCTCTCGTAGTCGGGTGTAGCGACTTGAACGGATACTTCTGTATCGTTTTCAACTCTGTAGTGCCATGAAATAAAATTAATCCGGTCTGACTTCAACTGTCTCTCTTTTTCACTTTGAACTTGCATCACTTTCGACGACACTGAATGAAACTGATCCGATGATGAGGGTTTCATCTTCGACATGAAATGATCATTTCATATACACATCCCGTATCCATTTCCCTTGGTAACGTTTCCCAATATCACCTTGAATGTATGACTTTAAGGACTCGTGCAAAAATCCCGACCAACCCGTGGCATTATCCGAAATAGATCCATGTTGAATTTGCACTCTAAAAAAGATGAAAGTAACAAGACCGAGGAGCAAAATAAAGATCAAGAAACCGCAGAGACAATCTCTGCATAGTTTGAGATGTCCCTCAGGTAAAGGAAGCTCACCCATTCCTCCTCGCCACTCTTGCCTTGCCGTGACTGGCACGAGCAATCTTTAAAGTGGAAACTGCGCATGTATGTGACACACAGAGTGACTCATGAAACTTGAAGAAACCATGCCTCTCGATTGGAAATTCGTCATGCAGAGAAAAAATTGCAGTTTGTCGTGCTTGGACCTCCACGAACAGGTTCTCTTCCCCCTGCTCCCCGAGAAAAGTCCTCGTCCATGCGAGAGAATTTATATTCCTATGTTAGTTTTTGAATAAGGGACCTGTGAATGGGAAGAGGGGCTCGACTACTGTAGGACTTGGCTCTCTTTGTCTGGAGCATCTTTTTCTTTTGACTCAACTTTTTTGTCGGCAGCATGAGGCCTGCATTGAATAAGCCTACGAGTTCATCCGGGATTCCTCTCCGTCAGCTCCAGAGAGAATGTTCGCGATGGAAGAGCATAATTGGTTTCCTGATGTAAGCTTTCAAGGGCATCCCTATGCCCCACGTAGCTTTCCTCCTCGATCGTGAGAATATCATCGCAGGCACGACATTTACATGTATGCAGTGGCGAATAAGGACAGGAGGGGGGGGGGGGGACCAAGTTCACCCTTCCATCAACCTCTTTTTGCTCCCTAACAGTAATTTGAGTGAGGTTCGAGACACAAGTATCTGGGCGTTACCACCCCAGGCGGAAATACCCGTGTTCCTTCGGTATTTTGCTGAAAGAGGAAGAATGTCAGCCTACTTTTTGGGAATGATGCGTTACTGGTGTTACACTTTTTTTTCATAGTCTGCAGCCGCGACCAGGATATTTCAGACTCAAATAAAATGAAAAATTCATCTGAAATGTAAAAGCTTACATATTGCTTTAACTCCTTGCAGTTTGTGGTTTCCTTGGGCGAAGCACGATCCCCCGTAACCACTTTGGCTCACCAAAAATGTGACCCTAGGTTACGCCATTACTCACCTGGTGCCTAAGAGATTCCCCTCGAAAAAAAAAAAAAACAAAAAAAAAAACAATGTTCTCCAGGGACACCAGGAATGGGGATAAATGTGGAAACGAGGAAAAAATCACCATTGATTTACCTTGGAGTGTACCCTCGTCCTTGATATGAAGGAGAGATCTTGTTTTTCTGGAAGAAATATGTCTCGTTTTTCCTCTCTCCTGAAAAGTCCATATTTATAAATAAAATCATTAATCATAAATCATATCATGAATAAAATACTGCATAAATTTTAGGGATTAAAGGAAGAGGGCACTTACCTCGCCCTTGACTCTGATCATGCTATAATAGTATAAATAGAGGAAGGAAAGAAGATGGGACTCTGAAGTTGAGAGTGCAGCGCTCTATTCAAGGCAAGCATTCTACGCTTCCGCCGGAAGAGCGAGTGCCTGATCAACCTTGTTTGCTGAAATCAAGCCTTTATTCCGATCCTCTTCTTTCCTTTTCGGAGACATGAAGGTGAGTCAACGGATGCGTCATGCTAATTCTTTTTTTCTTCTCTTTCTCAAGAAACGATTCCTCCCTAAAGTCTCGAGGCATGCTCGTGCCATCATTTTCATCGATATACTGTATACGCTATTGTACGAATGCGTCTCGTCGCTTCACACCACCGCAAAACTGCCTCGATTTTTGCAGGCTGTGAGTCAGTTCGTTCTGGTGGTCTGCATTCTCATGATGGTCCCCCTTGCGAGGAGTCAGGAGCAGGGGCGACTTCTGAGAGCATTGAGACCAGATGAAGGAGAGTTCGTCCTCCTCCACGTCCCAAGCCGACTTCGAAGGAGCATCCTTGATCGACCCTACAAACTCGCCCGTTACGATTCCGCCTTTCGAATGCTCAATGGGGGATTAGAGGCTGACGAACCCTTTAATCGGAGACGTTACGCCTATTCCACGATTCCCGACGTCAATGGAAATTTCTACGATACCTCCGTTTAGTGGGGGGTAGGAAACAAGTTTGCCGAAGACGAGACTTGAAAGGGAAAAGAAGGGAAACGCAAGAGAAAGGCTTTGGTTTTTTTTTTTTTACCTTTCTGGCTCTACTCATGCTCATCTGCGCCACTTCGTCTCTCGAGTTGTGATTTTTTAAAAAATCTTTTCACTGCTCTTTGTGGGACGGTGGGAGGGGATGAACAAAGTTTTCTGCTGGATTTCGTGCGTCGAAGATATTGTCTATGCCGCCTACAACGTTTAAATAAAATTTTGACCGGTTAGCGTGTTGAAGTCATTAAACAGTCAAGATTCTACACGCTCTGTGTATGCAGAGTGTCTAGGGGGTCGAAGACAGAACATTCCTGGGTGCAACAAAAGCGACTTTAAAATACCCAATTGATGTTCCCATGAACGTATCATCGACCGGTAAAATACTTGACAGAAGACTTGTCCGTGACCACCAACAACCAAAGCACGTTTCGTTCGCAAAGAAAAAAAGCCCACGCCAAAATAATTCGGATAATCTCGTAGTGATGACATCCAGTCATAGAACAGTCCAGATGATGGCATTCACTCATAGAACATAGTCCAAATGACATGCCATCGCTGGATATAAATAACATCCTATTCCTTCCTTGAATTCCAGCCAGAATCTTTTCGGGCATTGTAAACAGAAATTAGGATGAGAATCTTTCCACCCAGCTTTCATCCGCGGCTGATCGTGAATTAAATCGGAGAGAGAATGAGAAATCAACGAACAAGAAACAGAATATATTTTTTTTTTTCATTAAGTAAAACTTTGGACATTCGAAACTTTTATCCGAAAGGCTGAGATAGAAGGTTCGACAACCGTCCTTTCTTTTTTTTCCTGCAATTTTCACGCGCGAAAAACTGCCCTGTCACGCTTTGGATTGGAAATAAACTGAGCGTTTTTCTTTTTCTCCTCTCTCCTGAATGTGTCACTTGTAAACCGGTTGGATGCGGTGCTAGGTCACACTGTTACTTGAAAATAGTATCCAAAACTCGGTAAATGTACGAAATCGGCATAAACCTCGCATATCCGAAAATTCCGGATACCCTAAACCCGAAATAATCCCGATGTATTTTTTACAAGCAAAATTGTACCGTATCCAGAAACGGATCAAATCGGGTGAATGAGATGAGATATAGCATGAAGCGGATACGGATATGACGCAGTTTTCCGTTTGCATAGAACATGTACGCATCAAGGAAAGACTTTCTCCCACAATGATCTAGTGTAGAGCTGACACCACACGCTTGCTTCATCTCTGGAATAAAAGAGAAATTAAATTTATTTATTTATTTAAGAAAGTGCTTCCGAGATTGCAATTCCGAAGTGATCTTGTTGAGGCATAAATTAATTTTTCTTTTTAGTATCCAAGGTTGAGATGTCGTGCGGGGAAAATGCGTCTCAAGGTCAAATTTCTACCAAAGCAAACGAATACAAGGAAATCGGAACATCAGCGTCACACGGTAGTGAGTGCGTAGAAAACATCATTATTGAAGGAGTTCAATATTGGATTGCCTTGTCATGGCTGGGGATAAGGAATACGTCAATTTCCATTCTGGATTGAAATTCACGAACGGAACGTCAATTCCGGAAGTGTTCCTGGGGTCGTAAGCAGTGAAAACCCATTCCGAGAGCAGAACGGAGAGAGAAAGTAAATCTATTGGGGATATTCCGTCGTTAACGCTATTATGTTTCGTAGAAAACCAATTCACCGAAAGCTCCATAAAGCTCCATTTCGCAGACAAGTCGTTTCGCCGAACCGGTTTTAGTCGGGAGGGTCGATTCGTAGAAAGTCGTTTGCTTGACAGGACCTGTTAGCACTGGCCGAGCTGTAGGTCTTTCAGCTTTGACGGCTTCTAAATTTCGCATGTAGAGGCTTGCACAGCAACGGTGCCAGTTATGATTTCGGCTATGGAATCAGTGACTTCGAAACGTGGACAGCATCAAAGGTGGGAGACTCAATGCAAACAAGAGAGGAAGGAACGGAGTTGGATATTGGCGATGGATTCGTGAGGATGCTCTGTGACCGCTACTAGGGATGAAATGGACTTCGTAAAACGGCCATCTGAATTTCATGATCATGATAAAGGAGAAAAAGTGAGAAGAAGCATCGAAAGTGAACAGAAGGAAGCCGCTAAGAGAAGCGCAAAACCCGATGCTGCCATTACTGAAACGGATACAGACCTGGGCCAGTCAGGCAATTCACTTCGCTTGACTTTTGAAAGCTATTTTGGCAAAGATAAAAAAAAAGTTATTTGCAGCGCAAGGCTTCTCTTCTCGGAACAGGAACTTCTCTTCTCGAGAATACTCTCTTCTGTTCTGCAAAACAGTACCGTAACCGTCGTTCGGCGAAAAGGTCTCGTCTGCGAAACGACTTTCTGTAAAACGTCCCCAACCCGTTACGAATCCGCATTTATAGAGACATAGCGGAATTCAATAGGTGTGTTTATACAGGGTGTCCCATGAGTCACTACACCATTTCAAAAATTCACATCTACGGTTAAAAAGCATAACCATAAAAGGTTATGCAAGACCCTCTTGCATAACCTTTTGCTAGGGGGGTACAGCAGTTATGGAGTATCAAAAATATGAGTGTTATACATATTTTAAAAGCTAATTTTGTCCTAATTTCAGATTAATCGTTGAAAATTAAAATGGCTGGAGTCGTCGGCGATGACGAAAGGCAACGAGTGATAGACCGCATACGC